CCACAATTTTCGTCCTTTAATTTGTCTATCTTTTCTTATATTTTTTACCCTCTAAATAATTGCTGCTATATGTTTCAGTCATCATTTATTTATGGTAGTTTAGTGGAAAGCTGTCCCTAAGCGGACCAGCCCTGTTTTTCTATTTTTTTATTTTTATGTTTGTGTGACATAAGTACCAGCAAAGGATGTCAATGACCACGCTTTGTAAGAGCAAATGATGGCATTAAAGTTTAGGATTGTAGCCATGGCAATTACACTTTCCCATCTCCAATTTTCATAGTTTAAAAGAGAGAGACAATTTAAAGTGTTCTCCATGATGGCTAATTATTGGGTACCTAATATGGGAGAACAGCTCCTCCCAGCTTAGGAAGATGCCAAGCCAATTAGATTCATCATTCTGATCAGACACATATTCTCATGATGCTGGCTATGTTGGCAATAATTGAGTTTAGTAAGTCAACCTTGTACCGGTTTCCAAACCCTTCGAATTCAGTTTAATTATGGGTTGTGATAACAGTGATTTTGTTGACGAGGGTAGATCTGGAATTTCGAATTAGTGAGCTCTCTAGCTAGGGGAATGGATGGAAGGAGAAGGCTAAGCCAGGTGTGCCTCACGAACGTCCTGCTCTTGAGAAACTTATGCGCAGGCACAAGGAAAAAGTTCGTTAGTGTATGTGCTAGAAGTGGTTTTGACATATATATATATATATTCTAATATTTAAGTCAATAATGTTAAAATATTAGTATTTATTTTAAAATATTATATTTAAATTATAATTGATTGTATGCTTTGATACTGATTGGGATGATGATCCTTCTAATTGCAGATTTACCACTAGTTATTGTTTTTTTCTTGGTAGTTCTCTTATCTCTTGGCGGAATAAAAAACAAACTATTCCATTTTATTCTAGTATTGAAGCTAAATATAGAGTTCTCGGTGATATCACATCAGAACTTCTTTCATTCTAGTGGCTTCTTGAAAATATGAGCATTTCTCAATCTTCTTTTACTGATTTATATTGTGATAATCAAAGTATTATACAGATTGCTTACAATGATGTCTTCCATTAACGCACAAAACATATCAAGGTTGATTGTCACTTTATTAATTATCATGTTGCAAAGGGAATTGTTCATTTGACTTTCATTAGTTTTGCTTATTAGCCTGCTGATTTGTTTATCAAGGTTTATTTCTTTGAACGTTTCCAAACTCTTTTTTTCAAAGTCAAGTTGGTTTCCTCACTATGTTTGTGTGGATGTTAGAATATTGATATTTATTTTAGAATGTTATATTCACAATGTAATTGATTATATACATTTAAACTTAATTAGTTTTATATCTAAAAATATTCTATTGTATATATATATATAGAACTTTTGTATATACAATGAAAATAAAAAGTAATAAACCTTTTTTTAAATTATTTTTTCTTCTTTTATATTTCTAACAAATAATATTTTAGAGATAATAAAGGAAATGACAACCAATAATAAGAGACTAGAAAGGAAAGTAGAGAAGGAATTAATTGATTAACTTTTAACTTTTGAATAGCAAAGAAGACCTCTTTTATAGTTTCTTGGGAGTTTGTTTTATACTGAACGGACCTGGCAGATGATGAGCGTTGAAGGTTCCTAATTAATCTACACGGTTAGTACGAATGACAAATGCAGTAACCTGTACAGCTTGGACACAAAGAGATAAAACGAAAGGAAATACTCCAAGGCCTCCTGACATGGCTCACATTGACACGAGATGCTCTTTTAGGTATATGTATTGTATGATATGGAATGGGGCCTGTCGTCCTTTGTCCTTTGTGACATATATAGCCTTGGCCATCGAGGCTTTCATAGCCATACTTAAACTATCTGGACCAACTCTGTATGCCCTTCCAAAGGAGCTCTCCGGCCACGAACCTGCGGTGAGCTAAGTTAGGATCGAGCAGCTCTTTCAAGTATTCTCGTGAGAGCTATACTTGGCACGACTTGGCCCACCCTCAAGGGTCATCTAATCTAGGTTAACTATTCCTCAAGTCTCTGTGGACCCAAGGAGAGACTACCATGTATAGGAAGGGCATTCTTCTAATATCAAGTTACCTTTAAGGCAAAATACATAAATAAGGATACAAACTTTCAATCTTTTCTTATGTAAAGTAAATACATTTATTTTTTCTAATCAAGGATATAAAGATCATGAGCAACCAAAAACACGGCAATGGCATTAAAGGATGCTGATTTTGCATGATGAGAAACCAACTCAGTGGAGCAAATTTTGAAACAACCAAGAATAAACAGCAGACAGAGTTCCCTAATTGATTACACTAGAAATACGATTGTCCCCACCAAAATCATCAAATTAAACCACTAAAATGATGTTGATTGAACCACAAAAAATTTCGTCAAATTAATATGTACTAATTTAAAATTTTAGATATAAAATTATGATTGAAAACTTAAATTTTTATAATATCAAAAAACTTAACCCTACAATGTACCAAAAAAAGAGGAT